TTAATAAATATGTTTTTAAGTTGGTTTTTTTTTAATCATGTATGATATATATGATAGTTTGATAATATTTAAAATTAGGATTTATGAGAGTGGTAGATCAGGAATTAACCAGAATCTTCAATCCCGCTAGGGAATGTATCTTTTATAATCTTGCCCATAAAAGACGTGGGGTGAACTCTAGTTCCACTGAAGGCAATGTCAGACTTACTTAGAATATTTCAGTGTAGTAAAATCTCATCAATTAGGTGGCAAAACAATAGTGTACATGGTTGGGGAGGTTAGATGTTGAGAAAATATCTGCCAAGTGTGGCACTGGCTTTTCCCTCCTTCCTACTAATAGGTAATTTTTGAAATAAATCCTATAAAGAGTGTGGCTTTTGATGTTTAGACACTTTGAATTAATTATATACACAATTTCATAAAAGCAATCTGCAAATGAATGCAGGTCAAGTTTTTTAAAAACAAATAACCCAAATGTAGATACAGCAACAAAACAAGGATTTATCAGGTGGACAGTTCCAGTATAATGTTAGAATGGTCACACAGCATGTATAGAGTTGAAGAAGAGGTAACTGATGACATTTGGGGGAATTCTATAGCTGTAAATTTGCCATATCATTACTACAGTGTTTGTTGAGCATCCTGTGGTTTCTGTACATTGATAAAATTTGATTGGTGTTTTCCTTTTAAGGTAGATAATATATGCAGCATAATAGAATTAACATTCAGTATTTTCTTTGGAGATTCTTTATAATCCATGAATCATAAATGATGTTAATTTACTTTGGTCACAGTGAAAAGCAAAGTTCATGTGTAGTAATTAGAAACATGTCATTAGAGTTGACTTTGCATTTTAATTTTTTCCATCTATTACAATTAATATTTTGTATTTCTTGGCTGACTGAACCTGGAAAAAACACAGATCGCTAACTACTTTTGAATTTCTAATCTGAAACCTTTCCAAAATATTTTCAAGTTACTTTGGCTGAGCTAAATTCTTCAGTATGCAATAGCTTCAAAATAAACTACTGAACTTTCAGTTCATTCTTAGGATGAGACACACAGACTGTCCTGATATATACTCCTGACCATATAAATTTATTCCTGGTGCCACTTGTTGAAGAAACAATAGAATTCTTGTTAAAATAATATGGTAAAAAGATGTTTAGATCCAGCTCAATTTTAATTTCAAAACTTTTTTCTAAAGTTTCTTTTAAATAATCACAGTTAACAATTTGTGCTATTTGAGGGAATCATAGAATAGTTTGGGTTGAAAGGCACCTTAAGGATCATCTAGTCCCACCCCCCCTGCCATGGGCAGGGACATTTTCCACTAGACCAGGTTGCTCAAAGCCTCATCCAGCCTGGCCTTGAACACTTCCAGGGATGGGGCATCCACAGCTTCTCTGGGCAACCTGTGCCAGTGCCTCACCGCCTTCACTCTGAAGAACTTCTAATAAATCCTTGTTTTGTTGTTGTATCTACATTTGGGTTATTTGTTTTTAAAAAAACTTGACCTGCATTCATTTGCAGATTGCTTTTATGAAACTGTATATAATTAATTCAAAGTGTCTAAACATCAAAAGCCACACTCTTTATAGGATTTATTTCAAAAATTACCTATTAGTAGGAAGGAGGGAAAAGCCAGTGCCACACTTGGCAGATATTTTCTCAACATCTAACCTCCCCATCCATGTATGCTATTGTTTTGCCACCTAATTAATGAGATTTTTCTGCACTGAAATACTCTAAGTCTGACATTGCCTTCAGTGGAACTAGAGTTCACCCTACGTCTTTTATGGGCAAGTTTATAATTTCTTAGTGATGTGATTTCTCAGCAGGACAGTGTGGACTGTAGGCCACACTAGGCAGCAAACAGACTCTCCATGTATTGTTTAAATGCACTATCTGAATTCTTTATTGCCTTGTGAGACTCAAAAGGGCCATCCATTGTATTTTTGTGTTTGTTTGCCATCTTCGGTTCTGATTCTCAAGTCTGGCTCCCATACTTCTGGGGTATCAAGTTAATTTGGACTGTTCGCACCCATGACTCCAGGCCCAAATCATCTTTGAAAATAAAGCCTCATACCAAATAATCTTCTGATTTTTGATGTAGGAAGGAGAAGTTCTCTCCTCTTCCTGTAAGTGAATGTGCTCTGTACAAGGACTGTTTCAGTCTAGGCTGAGGTTTGTGGATGCTCACCAGCCTGCTGTGTTTGGATCTGGAACTAGATCCAGCCCCTTTCATGCTAGTTTCAATTGGGGCACGCAGTTTCTCATGGTGGATTGAAAATTGACATGCTGAACAAAGGCTCTCTGTCGTTTAAGTGGGGACAAAAAGGTCAAACTTCCTCAGCAGAAAACCTGGTACGTGGAATTATGAAGACTTTAGAAGAAAAAAACCAAACCAAAACAAGCACTTAACAAAGAACTAATTACTTCAGAGTTGGTGATGCACTTGTACTTCTGAAGAGCAAAATAAATCCTATCTGTTTCAGGTAAAATTAGAACTACCCACGCATCTTTCATTGTCTCATTTTCCTCACTGCTGTTGAGCATTCCTTGGAGTTTTGGTGCAGTGTCTCGCCTAAATACTTTCTCCGGGACCAAGTTATCATATGTGTGATTGCACTGGGTTCAAGTGGCAAGGTTTTGGTAGGGAGGACTGCAAGGGCAGCTTCTGTGAAAAGATTCCAGAATCTTGTCCCATGTCCAACAAAGCCAGTTCCAGCTGGTTCCAAGACGGATCTGTCTCTGGCCAAGTTAGCCAATCAGTGATGTTGGTAGTCTCTCTGGGATAACATATTTAAGAAGGAAAGAAAATACTGCTGCATAACAGCATCTGGGAGAGAAGAGTGAGAACAGGTGAGAGGAACAGCCCTGCAGACCCCCAGGTCAGTGGAGAAGGAGGGGGAGGAGGTGCTCCAGGCCCAGAGCAGAGATTCCGTTGGAGCCCGTGGTGTAGCCCAGGGTGGGGCCGGCTGTGCCCTGCAGCCATGGAGGGTCATGATGGAGCAGAGACGCGCCTGCAGCCCAGGGAGGACCCTACACCAGAGCAGCAGGATGCCCAAAGGAAGCTGTAACCACGTGGGAAGGCCGCATTGGAACAGGCTCCTGGCAGGACTTGTGACCCCGTGATGAAGAGCCCAGTCTGGAGCAGGTTTTCTAGCAGGGCCTGTGACCCCACAGGACACCCATGTCCATTGCTGAAGGATGACACCCCGTGGAAGGCACCCATGCTGGAGCAGTTTGTGAAGAACTGTAGCCTGTAGGAAGGGTCCGTGTTGGAGAAGTTCATGGAGGACTGTCCCCTGTGGGAGGGAACCCACGCTGGAGCAGGGAAAAATGTGAAGAGGAAGAAGCAGCAGAGGCAACGTGTGATGATCTGACCACAGCTCCTGTTCCCCATCCCCCTGTCCTACTCAGGGCAGAGGAGGTAGAGAATTCAGGAGTGAAGTTGAGCCCAGGAAGAAGGCAAGGGTGGAGAGAAGGTGGTTTTAGATTTGTTCTTATTTCTTATTATCCTACTCTTGTGTCAATTGGCAACAAATTTATTTAAATTTTCACACAGTCGAGTCTGTTTTCCCTGTGACGGTAATTACTGAGCGATCTCCCTGTAGTTATCTCAACCCACATGCCCTTCCTTATATTTTCTCTCCTCGTCTAGCTGAGGAGAGGGAAGTGATAGAGCGGTTTTGGTGGGCACCTGTCCCTCAGCCAAGGTCAAACCCACCTCAGGGATTCTGCTTTGGTTTCCATAGTCTGTGACCTCAGTTCCTTTCAGCTCTACACGGTAGAGCTGTTGAAGGTTTTCTCTCACTAGAAAGGGTTCCTGTTGGGCTTTTAAAGACATAGCCAAATAATTCTTTCTGTGGTCCTGCTTTGGAAACTTTTCCTTTTCTTTCCCATCTACTGACGATCTAAAGAAAACTGATTGTACCGGACTTGCAGCCGGTTTGTTGTTCAGCCGGGCCCTGCTAATACCCTCACTGATGATTCTTGATGATGATTCATGGTAGGCTGCCAGGCACTTCACTGGGTAGGCTCCCTCCTAAATATGAGAGATGAAGTGCTCAGTGTCTACCTGTAGTAATTTGTTTACAAAATCCATCCCCATTCTGTTCCTCGGAAGTTAAGTGGAAGCCGTGAAAAGAGCTACACTGCGATCAAGGCCTCGTTTACCTGAGCAGTGCAGAGGGATAGGCTTTACTCTGTGGTACCACTGTGTTGAAATGCAATTTGTGAATTTTTTTGAGAAAGATAATTCTCCTTTTTAGTATTAAAACCTGCAAACACATTGTGCTGTTTTTAGTCAGGACACAGTTAATTTTCTTCGCAGTAGCTGGTATGAGGCCTGAGAAGAGTATTGATAACACTGGTGGTTTTTCAGTTGGTGCTGGGGAGGGCTTGCACCGATTCAAGGACTTTTCCAGCTTCAGATACTGCAGCTCTGCTCCCAAATTTCTCGCTACAAGCAGCGTGTGTGTGGGGAGGACACGGCGATGGGGCACAGTTCAGACAGCTAACTCTAACCAGAGGAGTATTTCATTCCGTAGCACGTCATGCTCAGTATAATAAGCTGCGGGTAGGCTGGAGTGCCATAGCTTGGTTTGTTATATTATAAATATATAATGTAAGGAGCTGCCTCTGTCATCCCTATACTGAAGTAAGTGGGGAGTGGTTTCACGATACTCCTCAGTTTGAGGAAAATCATATAAAGGAAAAAGAATATTCTATGAAGACTACATTGTACACGTTTTTTCACAGGTTGGGGTAAATTCCCAATGGATTTCAATTTTTCCAGTTTAAACAATTTGTTGCTATTTAGATTTCAAGGCATAAAATGGAATTGATGGTTGAATTATATTTGTGAGAGTTTGGGATCAATTTAATGGTTGTTGATTGCACTTGCTGACTTCTAAGGGGATTAAGGATAAGGCCTTTACTCAGCTTTTTAATATGCAATTATTTAACTGTTTTCCCTTCTTTTTAATCATTAGGTGATGCTTTTCCGTGGACGATTAGTTTGAACTATTTCAGTATATATACTCTTCTTGGACAACAGATGACACTTGATTTAGTGGAACCAATGGGCTGTACTTCAACTTTAGCTGTTACTTCACAGAAACTGCTCGCTTCGGGGCCAGAATCCAGACACTCATTTGTTGTCTGCCTCCATGTGGACCTTGAGTCCCTTGAAATAAAATGCTCCAACCCCCAGGTTGGTATGTTTAATTGATTTATGAAAGGAAATTAAAAATAACTTCATTTAAGTGCAATTGTTCTGCATTTTGTTGGAGAGGATCTTTTCTATCTTAATTTTTTTTAACTGGGCCATCAAGATCAAGGTGCTTAGATTAAGATTTGCTTTGAAGCTCACTCAAGTTTTGTAATTTAAACTCTTCTCAAAAGGTAATAGCTATAGTATAAATGCATCTTTTGGTTGATGGAGTGAAATGAATTGCAGATGTACCATTAAATGCTATAGTGCTGTTCTGCTGTCACTGTGGATTCATACATTGAAGTGGATTAAATGGAATTTTTTACCGTATTTTCATAGAAGTAACATTTCTTCAAACATAAAATGTTTTTAGGCAAACAATGATATCCTTTAGTAAAGGGGGGAAAAAAAATATTAATATATGTAAACAAAAGTTACCCCTCATTTATGTTTATTAGAAGGCAAAGATGTTGCTGGATTTTCAGAAAGTGCACCCTTTATTTCACTGACTTGGATGAAGTTTGCTGTTGTTCCAAGTAGAGTAGGTTTTCTATGCAAAATTTTGAGTAATCGTTACTGCAACTTACTACAGCACTTTCCTGACAGTTACAGCATTTCCAGTGGTGCTGGTGAGAGCACTCTTTTGTTCTTGAGAATCGCAAATCTGTTGAAGTCTGAGTAGGTCTCTGCACTTAAGTGCTGTCTGCTTCAGAGTTTTAGCCATGTGTAGGATTTTTCAAACGATGTCATGGACAAAGTTGAATGGTGTTTGCTTCGTTTAATAGAAAGAAAGAGAAAGAACACAAAGGATTATCGTTTTGGTTTATCTGTAGACAGCACGCCATGCTTGTAAAGATTTATATACCTATGGCCTAAGTCTGGGAATACTAAAGCTAAGATGGCTTGTGTGATTTTAATGTTATCCCTTATGTGTACTCATTATTACAGTATGGGTCCCAGTCACGTGCAATTTTTCCCTTGCCTCATTCCAGGTTCTGTGAATGAAACAAATGTTTTAAACTATGTGTTTATTTTATCCTTCACGTGTGGTCTCCTTTCCCATTCACTACCTTCCATCCACGTGATTTCTAACTCATTTGCTATATGCCATTGTCTACTGTACTGGAAGAGCTCACATTCACTGGGAAGAGGGTTGGTAGAGGGAGATGGCACACTGGACATGGCAAAATAAAACTTAAAATTGAGCAGCCTCAACAAGGTCTACTCAGACTTCTAAGGCTGTAAGACAGGTGTGTTTGCACACATAAAGGGTTCTCACTGTGCGACAAATGTGTAAATAGGAAAGGACAAAATTATGATTTTGCTGACAATTTTACATTTTATGTTTGAAATCTGCTGAAAGCTTTACTTTGCAAGTTTGTGGTACTTCCATAACGTTTAATAAATTCATACGGTATAATTTCACAGCCTGTGGAGACCTGCCTTATTCTATACTAGTTTTCATAGAACTGTACAAAAGTCATCTTGATATTGCAGCTCTTCAAAGAATCAGTAAATATTTTGAGATGTTCATGTGGCAAAATGGTTTACATCATTTGGTCTGTACACTGCCAGTGAAATTCCAGCAAATTGTGTGATCATCTCTGAATTTTTTGTTTTTAAATCTCAATTAATCTCATGTCGATATATATAATACATTTACAGTATTAATTTATAAGCAAAATGACATTGTTATAAGTGTAAGCCTTCTCTAAACTTGAGTTGCAAATTAAAATGAAAAACGAAATGGATAAAACACATTTTCAAGCTTTTCTACATAAATGTGATCAAATAATTTATTTTGCAGTCTGCAAGAAAATATTTGCACTGAAATTTTTAAATTGTAGAATTATTTACATGGAGCTTATGAGCGTAGTGAACTGTTAAAATGGAGTTGTACAGTGGAATATCAGACCAAATATTGTTGTCTTAAAGGAAGTCCTTCTAGAGTCTGATAGTACTCATTTACTGAAGTATTATAATGGCCAAAAGAACGAGGACAAATTATTCGAGTTTAGAGAAGGTTCTTGAGCTGCACTTTCTTCCTTGCAGCTGCCTTACTTGTCCTTTCTGTTTTACTTATGCAAAAGGGGAAAAAAATCCCATCGGTCTTCTTTAACCAGATGTTCAAGAACAGAAGATGGAAAACACAATTACATAAACACCATTTGATAGTTATAAATTCACAGTGGACTAACTAGGAAATTTGATTCTTTAGGATGACAGGCTGTATTTTGTCTATAGATGACAGCCTTAAAGTAGGTGATACTTAGTGAATTTGTTAAATGGTAGCAAAGGTGAAATATTTTACTATATGACTATTATGATTTAATAGGAGACCATGTGCTGATGGTCATACCCTTTTAAAATCAGTAGATACTTCCAGTGTGCAAAATTGCGGGATACTGCCTTTTGTTGTAGTTTTTGATTTTGTAGTAATGTGTTAGTGTTAAAGTGTGTTTGAGTATAAAATGCTATAAAATATTGAACTTTATAGATTTTGCCAAGCAGTCAGTAGGGTCTTACAGAATTATATGTGGTTTTCCTGGGGAAGGAGTGGAAGCAGTGAGAGAGGGAAACTTTTCTTCCCAAATACTGGCAAAATTATTCCTATTTTTGTCACACCGTTTTTCTTCTCTTGAACAGAGTGTACTAAAAACTATTATTATTTATTAAATGTTATGCTCAAACGTACTTATAAGGGAGAGAGGTGTAGTATTTACATTAGCTCTTCTAACATAATCAGAAATAGATTTTCAAAACGTTAAGACTACTCACTTGGAAAAGTGCCACCAACAAGAGAAGTAGAAATCTTTCTGGTTTAATGACTAGCAATCAATGGAATAAATTAAGTGTATTAAAAATAATCAAAACCATAACTTCAGCGCTTGATATGAAGTTTTTAGATTTTATTTACATATAGACATATGCCTTCATTTTTGTTTTATTGAGGTTTTATTGTGAGTCTTAGTGTTTTCTACTTTTTTTAACGTATCTCTGTGAAAATCATCTCCATCTAATAAAAATGTGCCTTTTTTCTTGCTGAACTAACCTAAGCAATTTTTTAAAAAAGTCTTTCTCATAACGTATGTAATTATTAGCTTTAATGATTATGACTGTTGCAACTCCAGTAAGATCTAAACTCCTCAGTGTTGGATTAGCTGATGACAGACATCTTTGACAGACATCTTTACCTTGTGTATAAGCCTGTATGTAAACACAAAAGTTGCATCCTTCCTTCTTTTGCCTTATTTTGTGCCTTTATGAACAGTAGCGTAATAAAATTTCTGGAAGCCCTGCTTCATTAACACAAATGTAGCTTAAATTAACCTTTGGTTTCTGGACAAAAAATAATTTGAGGGAGGGGAGGTTGCAAGCATGTATGATTTGGATATGAGGCTGTAGCCTATTAATTTCCTAGAGACTCTTTTGCCAACAAAATGTCAACACCAGTTAATGTTATATTACTCAGTCAATCAGATGGACATTAGTTGATCTGCCTGTGTTACATGGAAGAGACTTGAGAAAACTTAGATATTTGTAATTAGTAATTTAAAGGCTACCAGTGCATATCAGAGTGCAAGACAGACACAAAATGTTTTAAAGCACAACTAAAAAAAAAAAAAAAGTTTTTGCCACATCTAGAATTATGTAGATTGTATGTAGATTGGTCTATATGTGAAGATAAAAAAAAAAGTACTGAGAAGTTTATCCTCTTTCTTTAAGGAAAAATTCTGTCAAAAGAGCATATGACCTGCTCAATGTAAGCCTTGAAACTTCAAAAGAAAATCCATGATGAATTTAAAAGGTTTTTATAAAATTCCAGCTCTTCACCTCTTTAGAAAGGACCGTGGCATGTACTTTGAGACTTCATCGCACACTCTCGCACACAAAATCAAGTACTGTTTTATATCAAATGTAGATTGACAACAGTGTTTTTCTGCATCTGTTCTGCCCACATAAGAAGCCAACTTCATAGAGTAGATGTGTCCTGAGGCTTAAAGTTCTTATAAATATGAGAATTTCCATTTTTTATAATGGCAAGTTGGGTATGGTATCCAGCTGTGGATCTGCTTATATATTGTTTGCAGTTTTCTCTGAGCTTGTTTTATACAGTATATTGCAGTATGTTGTCATACAAATTCTGTGATTAATGCTTATTTACAAAAACTTGTGTAAATATCTTCGTACTGAGTCAAACAATGTGCAAGTTAAACAGTGTGCTTCGGAATATTGAAATGACATATGCCAGGAGACTATTCAGTTTGATAGTGGATATTCTTTCTAAAACACAGAATAGTTTCATATGCTGGATGAGATTATTGTTTTAATACCATTTAAATGAATTATTTTTGCATTGTTACTATTTCATAAAGTTTATATGTTTGCCTTTATTTAGGGGCAGTATGTATACATATGAAATACACTACAAATTACCTTTGTTTAATTGTTGAAATTGATATTAGTGAGTTTTACAAAGCCATGTTATTGGTTATGTTTTTATGAGCTAATTACTGTGTTAAGACAGGGCAGAGATTATTTTTATCAAAATCACTATACTGTAACTGGTGTTAATTATTTTAATTGCAGTGTAGTTTCTTATCAGAACATTATAAATGGTGAGAAGTTCAGTTCTGTTACATTCTAAGCCCTGGTGGAGGACCTTGATGATTTTCCTTCACCTCATTAAGGAAAGCTTCATCTTAAAAAAGGCTTTTTTTTCTTCTAGGTGCAGCTTCTGTATGAACTGGCTGAGATCACAAGTAAAGTTTGGAATAAAATTCAGAGGAAAGGAGTTCTACATCAATCTTCTGTCTATACTGAAACCATGACAGGACCTGCTCCTCCTAGCTCTCCAGTTAAAAGTAGCATTGGTACCGCCCCACCAGATACCAGCACATACAGCCCGTCGGCTGACATTGGGACCACTACAGAGGTAGGCGTTCTTAAAAACACCCCAAACAGTGTCATGTGAGTTCTGATTTACAAGGTGCACTGCGCAATCAAGTAAGAATCGGCAAGAGTAGTAGTGTCCCTGTGGAAAGTAGTTTTGCCCTGATAAACTAAAGAAAAATACTCAGTTTGGTGGGACAAAAGGAAGGAAAGAAAAAAATTAACAAATTGCTGTATTGTTCCTGTTTGGATTACTTCTCTTTGAAGTAAATGAATATGGACTCCTGTCAGAAAATTATGGTTAGTGTTTTCACGTTAAGAAACACAATTCTTTTCAAGTCCAGAATTATTAGAATAGTAACTAGTGTTTTGGAAGTACTTGTTGTGTCCTAAGTAGCTCCCATGGTCAGCCTGTCCTGTTGAAGCCAGACACTATGGTGCTTGAGTCAGTGGAGAGCTGCTGTGTGTAGACTGGATTGACAACCAGGAGCGGTACTGCGGCAGTGAGGACTCCCAAGGCTGGCATTACTGGTCCCCCAGCTGTGTGCTCACCCAGGACTATCCAGCCACTGTTACCCTCCATCTATGAACTACCTCTGGAGCTCAGTTCCTTCCCCAATCCCAGCTGTCCCATGTCCCAGGAGTGCTTTTGTAACTTATGAGGATTTGGGTATGCAGCGTCAGATATAAGAAAGATTGATGTGTTGGGTTTGTGTTGTTGGGGGTTTTGGTAGTGGGTGGCCCCTGTTAGAAGAGTCAAGAAAAGCTCCTGCAGCTCCAAGTCAGACCTGCCTCTGGACATGTCTGAGCCAACCAGCACCTCTGTAATTAACATACTTAAGAGGGGAAAACAAAAAGAGAAGCACCAACCGAAATGAAAACAGCAGAGAGAGAAATAGGAGAGGAGTGGAGTGTGAGAGAGACAACAAGGCAGACACCAAGCTCAGTGCAGAAAGGCATGGAGGAGCAGCACCAGAGTGGAGGTTCCCCTGCCGCCATGGTGAGAGGGCAGGCTGTGCCCCTGCAGCCATGGAGGGTCACAGTGGAGCAGAGACCCCCTGCAGCCCAGGGAGCACCCCACGCTGGAGCAGGTGGCTGTGCCCAAAGAAACCTGTGATTCCGTGGGAAGCCCACGCTGGAGCAGGCTGCTCCTCAAGGACTGGGCCCCACAGAAGGGACTCATGCTGGAGCAGTTTGTGAAGAACTGCAGCCCCAGGGGAAGGACTTACATCAGAGAAATTCAAGGAGGACTGTCTCCTGTGGGAGGGACCCCATGTGAGAGTTTTTAAGATCTGTTTTTTTCTCTCATTATCCTACTCTGATTTGATTGGTAGCAAATTATTTTTTCTTCCCCAAGTCAAGTCTGTTTTGCCTGTGACCATAATGGGTGAGTGATCCCTCCCTCTCAATCCATGAGCCTTTTTCTTATATTTTTTCCTCCCCATTACACCGGGAGGTGGAATGAGTGAGTGGCTGTGTGGTGCTGAGTTGCCATCTGGGCCTGAATTAATTGGTCACTTGGATTTATGTATTTCTGCTTCCTTAGTTTACAGCACTGTGTAACTGCCTGGAAAAATCTGGTACCTGATCTCTGTGTGCACCTAAGACTTTCAAATATTATTTTGAGACATGTGAAGGAGTTCTGCTTCTTTGCCATAGCGAGGAAAGAAGGCTAATTCTTTTGTCAGCGTGAATACAGCATCAAACTTCATCCATGAGTATTGTTAGCTATGAGTCACCAAGGAGCTGATACGGTAGCATGAGTGCTCACAGGGCTCTGTGCAACTGAATAGGCCCAGTATTTGTGCTTTTCTTAGTGCTCCTGTCAGGCTTATTAACTAGAATAACGTGTTGGCCTGTTTGTGCTGCAGGAGAGTATCAAAAATGCATGAGTTGAAGGTAAACCAATGGTATATCATACATATGCAATTATTCATTCTTAACATAAAGCTATTAGAATGCTGAGAGAGTTTCATTCTCAGGATAAACACAACAGTTTTGGGGTCACCCTGTAGAACAGTTCCAGAACACAGGCAAGAACACAGCAGTTTGAAGGAGTATGTAGTCAACAACATTTGGCCAGGATTGCTTTACCCCTGTGTATGGTTTGTATTAATTACCGGTTTTGGAGAAAATGACAGGCATAGGTCAGTGTCATTAGAAGTTGTTTGAGCTAGAGTTTCAGTTCTTTAAGTTCTTTCACTAAAATGTTTCTAGATTATTTTAATACCCTTGGGTTTGGTATATTTCTATGCCTCTGTGATTTCAAATGTGCAAAATTTTGCCATAGACACAGAACTGAAGGTAAGCAGTACTAGTAAGAAAGCAATATGGTCCCAAAAATAGTTATTTTTCACCTACTTATATCAAATTCATTCTCATCAAAATCAGAAACCACCAGCTTTATAAATAACAATTTGGTTTTGACCCTCTCTACAGACAACAGTATTTGGAGTACATGCTGTACTTGGAGCATTCCTTGAAACCGATTCAGTAATTGTTTTAATCCATATGTTACCAAGATTATTTTAGTAATATGGGTCCAAATTCAGTGTTCATATCCTATCCCTTTGCAAAATGCTGTTCATCATTTATTTAATTTTCTTTCTATTCTCAACAAATGTTATACACTAGCTAAACAGATTTTCTCCTGATCTAAATGAGGTTTGGTGAATGAGCCAACAAAGGACAATATTAGAATTTGTGTTCAGTCTTTTCCACTCTGAAGCTAAGACCATAATTTCAAACTTGTTAGAATAGAAAGTTCTTTTAAAACACATGGCATTAATATTGGCTTTTTTTCACAATAGGGGACTTAGAGTTAACATACTGCTTTGAAAGGAGTGTGTCATTGTGCTTAGGCAGGATAAATAAATTAATAAATTGACCATACTCTGAGCATATTATTAAAAATATGGATGAAAAAAATTAAAGCAAGCTACAAATAGGAGGAAACATTTGCATGAAGGCCTAGTTCATGTGACTGAAAGGTTGAGGAATAGAGCTCCATCATCTCCATTCAGACCTTTCAGTTCAAGGTGTTCTGTCTGTGGCTGGGGTAGAAAGGCAGCTCAGAAGAAAGAGCCAGCACATGGGATACTCAAGTTCACCGACAGAAAAGCATACTGAGGCAGGTGTCATTTGTCAGTGGAGACAGTGAGGTGGGAGAACGCGTACATGGCCAAATATTTGAGATTGTAGAAAGTTCTTGATCAGAAGTTGAAAATGAGATTTAGAAGGCTAATTTTTATATCATTGGAAAAAGATTCGAAGTTAATATTTTCGAAGGTAATATTTTTGGTTCTGCAGCTGAGGAAAATCTTATTCCATTTCTGATTAACTGAGTGGGAATACTAGGTGTATTGAGGTGATTAAAATCAAAACAGTATGTGGGATTTAATTAACAGTAAAAGAAGAAAAAGGTAAAGGTTTTGAATTACTGTGGTTGGAAAAAAAAGACTTGGGAATTGAATGGGAATTCAAGCCAGGGGTTAGATTCCTATAAGACTAGTAGCTACAAAAATGCTGTATTTGAGTTTGTGGGTACAATAATTTTTATGAATTTGTGAGTCAGTGTTTATACTTAAAGACCACTTTTGATATCGGTTTTGAGATTTCTTGAAGAAAGTGGTACTGTAAGGTGAAAAGGAACCAATAGTCAGTGGAGGATTCATCAAAATGATTTGGTTGTTATGGGATGTAACATTAAAATTTGTCCTGACCTAGTACTTTCTTGTATTTAAAGACTGATGTTTAAAATAAAAGAAGACTCAAAAAAAAGCAATTATCCCATCACCCTTAGGACTAATTTTATGCCAAGGTACCAGTTGGAGTGAGGTGAATCGCCTAGTAGTATGACCAAATTAAATACATCTAGATGATGTAAACAAAGTAGCAGTTTCCAAACAGATTTTTTTAAAGCCATAGGAAAAATGATCTTAGGCACTCTACCACCATTTTATATCAATGTAGTCATCCCTTTCTATGGATTTTGTTTTCTTTTTAATCTTTTGATGGCCATCAATAAAACTAAATCGCAGTGTTTTGAAGCTATACAATGAACTTTTGCAGAGTGTAACGTGTGAAGTAGCTAAGAACATGGTTTCTGAGACTCTGCACCTTTTTGATGTCTGAGCAAAGTGTAGTACTAAAGAGGTAGGAGAACCACACTTGGCTGACCAGTGAGAAATAATAAGAGGATCATGTGTCGTGGTCTTTTTCAAGCACTCATCAGATACTGGTATAGAAAATCTGAGCCTTGGAGAAGGATTGGTGGTGTTTGGAGGCAAGAAGGCAAAAGTTACCATTAATGCCTCACAGTAATGGTGATTGTAGAAACTGGGATGTCAGGAAAGTTAACCAACTGACAATGAGTGATACTGCATGGAAGCAGAGGATGACTGAAAAAGGCATGAGCTGAGAAGACTGGAGCAGCATTCCATTTTCCTGGGTCTGATTTATCCCTGTCTGTGGTTTTGCTGCTGGTTGGAACTGGACCACTCCTTTCCCTTCCCACAGAGTCTGAATTCCATCAAGAGAGTAATAAAAGCAGATGAGACAGTTATAGTGCGTTCACTCCCTGGCCAGGAGACCGAACACCAACAAAACCTTGCTTGGTTACTGTCTTGTTATTGGCAGGTCTGAAGACAATTTGAAGATATTCAGAGAAATAGAGAAATACTTTTATTTTAATGTCTTTAAATACTATGTACTTAATGGTTTTACATTCTTTATAATGCTAGTATCGATTACTTACGGATGCATATTTGGTCTTTAGACATTTGAAGCTACTTACTCTTGGCCTAGTGTCACTCGCAAAGAAGTCAGTGGGAGCAAATCTAGATTAGTGTTGTTTGATTTGGAATATACCATCCATCTATTGGATCTATTGTAATTTACAATCTATTTGTAAATTAAAGTCTGTTTTCAGACTGTTCTAACAGCAGTGTTTTTAATGAGAGAAACATAAGAGGTGGTACTATATAAAAACTGGGTGCATTAACCACGATTTTACCTGCCATCTATGTATTTTAGTCATTCGTGCTGATCAGCAGCAGTGAAGTATATAGAGTAATTAAACAATAATATGTATTTCTACAGGTTTGACTTCAGGAGAGTTTCCAGAAGTTTACATTTTATTAGAATCTGTATTTTGTCTATATGTTCCTATATTTTTAAATCTTGAAGTTTGTCGAACAAAAAAATACTTCACTGAGATAGGTACATTTTTTTTAAAGTTTAGAGGTTTTACAGTTAATGTGTTATTTTGTTCTGTGGGAGACAAATGATTATTTTTAAAGATTCTTTCAGCTGCAATGGACTTGCTATAAATGAATCGGAAGAAAGCAAACTCTTACAACTGTTTTAATATAAACAGCGAAAGAAGTAATTTGTTTATGTGTTCTGTGGATGATTTATATTTTAAGCTGTGTGTAATTCTTTTCATGCTGACAAGCTGATATTGAACACCACAGTCCGATGTGGATTACGTGGCCTAGCTTCGTGATTTTTCATGTGGGTGGTAGTAAGACAGGGAAACGTGAGGGCGAGGTTTAAGGTACTGGAGGGCTGGAAACAGTTAATCGTTTTTACCATCCCTCCTTTGGAACAGCAAAAGCAAAGGTAGTACAGACTACAACAGGCCACTTGTTACTGTTTACTTAAGTACAAACAGTGGTAGAAGTGTTTAGTCCTTGGGGAAACTCAGTGATTGAGCAAGAACGCAGAAGTTATTTTGATAAGGCGTAGCAGTAGTGTGGCCAAACTATGATCATCCCTGAGCTTTAGGCAGGCCAAGGATGAAGGCCTCATATGTTTGGATCTTCCTGATGAACAAAGATAAATTCTGCTAAGAAAATAAACTCAGTATATTGGTCAATTTGCAACAATTGGTGAAAGAATTAAATTGTATATTTTAGGACTTGGCATGAGAAGTTGTGGGAAAATAGTTCAGGGTTTCTAACTCTGGCTTGATTTTTGTGTAGAACTGGAAACAGAGCAGAAAATTAATGCGTAAACATGTTTAACAATACCACGCTGGGTGCTGAAAATCCAAAATAAAAATTGAAACTGCATGAGAAACAAGGGCACAGTCTCTCTTCTCACTTCAGTTTCTTAGAATTCTTTTTATCAGTGAAAAACTAAGAATTTGAGCTTATTAAAAAAAATATATATATAAAAAAAAAGTCAGCTACTGCAGGCCATCAGTTTTTCAGCCCCTGTGACTCTGCCCAATGGTTCTGGTTACAGTACCATTAACAGAAGGCAAATAAGAAATGCAGTCTCTTCATTTTTCACCTCCCAGAGGAAAGCCATAGAGCAACGTCTGCCTTCAGAGGAGCATCTGTAGTGCTTCTGCCGCTGAGAAGAATGGGCCTGTTCAACTGTTTACATGTGTTTGAAGGGCAGAGAATTTAAATAGCATGTTCACATTGACCTGTTGAAGTAGGGGAAGGGCGGAACCGGTGTCCCAGTATCCCAGTAACCTCTGACGGGAACATGGTGTTGAGCAGCTGGGATGTCTGTTGATAAGCTCTACGTTGGCATAGCTGCAAACAGAAGAGGTTATCGCTGAAGGCCTCAGCTTAATGCAGTTTTAGTGATACTGTCAAGCTAGTTCATCTAAGTGGTAGTGCACACAAGTGACCTGGAACACTGGATGGGAACACAGTAATGCCAATATCGAATTGCAGCACAAAGCTAAGCACGAGTGGGTTGCGGCCCTGGTTAGGACTTGCAGACCCTGTGGTAGAACAAGTTTCAAAACCCTGGCAGTTGCAGGTCCAAGTGTCTGACCCCCAACTCAGGCTGCCTCTGGCTGTGTCCAGAAGTTCACAATTCCTTTATTTTTGATAACGTTTTTTACATCGACATCTTCCATTTGACTCCTAGAAATTCAAGTCCTGGTTTTCCTTTTCAGCTTCACTTCCAGAAATACATGCATGTGTAGGCCTTAGTTGTGCATTCCCTAAATGAAGTTTTGTTCTCCAGCTACACAATTATGTGCTACACAATTTCAATAGGATTTAATAAAGCCACCTCACATACTACAGAAATTAAAGTATGAGAAACATCTGGAAATCAGACAAGCATAAGCACAAACAACATTCGAATGATGCCAGCAAAAGCTTAGCTCCAGCAATGGTAACAGAAATTGTAAGCACCTTGGCCTCTTTTCTTCACCTCTAATTTTTTTGGTTATACCATATCAGTTACACAGATTATTACATTTTGTATTTAGAAAAGGAGGAAGCAGTTTCTAATGATAAATCTGGGCCTGTACTGTAACTCTGTTTTTTTGTAAACTTCAGAGATACAACAGGGTTTCCTGCTTTTTAATTTGATTGCACATTCTGGGTTCAATTGATTTTTGTGTATGTCTGGGGTTATGCTACATGAATGCAGTTCTTAAAGATCTCAGAAATAGTGTTATAAGTAACCTTATGCCAAAATTATCAACTGGCTGGTTCTGAGAGGCATAGTACATCATTTAATATCTTAAAAAACATAAGTTTAAATGAAAGTGTGGGAAAATGATAGCCAGTGTTTTCTACACAACAGTTATCTATATATTCAAACCACTAAACAAAAACAGCTCTCTGTGAAGAAAAAAAAAAGTTGACAAACTGCATGCAACACATTAAATTATGAAAATAAAAGAACCTAATTATAAAATTCAAAACTTGCCACGGTGGCAGTATGTATTTACTGCTAACTGTAGCCCTTTAATTCAATTTACTATTGTTTTCTTCTTTTTTTTTAATGATTAAAAATGTAGAGACCTGCCAAAATTTTAGAACAAAGATGATTTTCATACAAAAAGCATTTTGGAACATGTCCAGTGGGAGAGTGAGGGTGTGTATGGAGGACAGGGAGAAGACTGTCTCTCTTTCCCAATCCATCCATCACAGTCTGTAAGTTACAGTTTGGCAAATGAAAGTGTCAATACACTTTTGCTTTCCTTTTTTGCTTGAAAAATGAAGAAAACTTGCAGTGCTTGGTGGAGATGCAAGTGGATTTTTAGTGGGTTCTGACTGACATCAGTGACTTGTGTGTCCATTGCGTTCAGTTTAAGAGCCTGTAAATGCTTGGACCTGATGAGCAATTCTATGTTGGTATCTTTCCTTTCCTATTTGGAGACAGTAAGTTCCAGCAAAGGAGCAGGATTAAGTCCTGTGGCTGGTAAATATTTTAGTTTTGCCATTAGGAGTTATCAGAACATGCCTGCAGGACTCTAATAAGCCCTCATAACAGGATTTTCAGTATAGTTTTCATTTGTTGTGTTCTTTTCCTAAAAACATTAACGTTTGTGACATCTTTGTCAAGCACTTAATGTTTTAGGGAATGAATGGAGATGGCACTGCTGGCACAGAAGCTTCTACAAGCTCATTTGTCAACAGATTGTATATTTAAGAATATCTCAAGTGACAATCTCCTGGTTTAAATAACAGAAATATTTTAAAAGTGGCAACTAAAATGTTTCCAATTCTTACAAAAAAGCTATTATTTTGTGAAATTACTTTCCCAAACCATTACAGGGAAGCAAAAGAAGAGGAAAAAACCCAACCCCAAACCCAGTGTGTATGTAGTATAGAAGTGTTATGGCCATATTGGGTGGCTTTACATTTGGCATCTCTTACTCTTACTTCCTTTGCCTTTGAGATATGCACAAGCCTGGTTATCACCTTTCCCATTGCATCTAGAATATTCCTATCAGTCTGTCATTAGAGTATTCCTATCAGTATTTCATTAGAGTAGTTAATGAGGAAGGGTCACTATGCCAAGTGGAATCAAGTCATAGAACCTTACAGTTTTACCATATAATCTTTGCCAAAGTCTGATTTTATTACCTAAGAAAATAGAATATTTTCTGTTTCTAGAAGGGAATATATTTTGTTGGAGATTTCTTCCTGATGTTAAAAAATGGCTTAATTCAAATATACTGTCAGTGAATCTGTATTTCCATGTATATGATTTGGGCATCTACATCACTCTAGATGAAAAAAAAGAGGAGTGGTGAAACCCCTTTATTTTTCTCATCTGTTTCATAGGGTGATTCTCTTCAAGGTGGTGATGATTCTCCGTTCTCAGACTCCATTACCTTGGAACAAACAACAAGCAATATCGGAGTCTCAAGTGGACGTGTCAGCCTATGGATGCAGTGGATGTTGCCAAAAATTACTATAAAATTGTTTGCTCCTGATCCTAGAAATAATGGTACAGGTATTAACAGTTTTTCCCTTAATATACTATTTTAAATTCCATACCTTATTTTACAGCACAGTATTAGCTATTCAGAGCATTTATCAACAATATTAAACACTGCAATGCAGAAATAATGGGTTTGATCTATATTTTAAGCTAGAGTGACAAGCTGTAGCTAAGCTAGTGCATTTAATCAGAAATTCGGGTTGTTCTTTGGAATCAACTTCCTTTTCTGTGTGGAAAGATGATTATATTAAATTGGAAATAAGTTGGTTATTTTACATAATAGAATGCTGCATTTATTGCCCCAGAAGCAGTCTAGTTTCATTTTGATATGATTTAGTAGTATGCTTTGTGTATGTCCATTTATAGACATGTAGTTTTTAATTAATAATTTCAAATTCAACCTAATCATCATAGTATAATCCTTCCAGTCATAGGAATTTTAATATGGAGTTCAACATAAAAGTTTCTTATCAAAAGAGAGATATGTGTGGTACACAGCCTCTCTTCTTTCTTTTTTAGTTTAAAGTTGTATTATTATCTGGACAGTAGTTGTTTGAAAGGAGCTTGGATTCCATAAATGTACCACAGGACTTCAAACTTCTGTTGTTGTTGTTAGGAAACACTGCTGCGTAGCAATTAGCATTTTACTCACAGAAATGTGAAAAAATAAGGAGACTAATGATTAAAGCTAATTTTGATGGACATGTACTTGAACCTTTGCTTTTAAAAAACTAATTACATGAGAGAAACAAATCTCAAGTATTTTTAGAGTAAATATGTTGACAAATACTTTTTTACTTTTACTTTTTTTTTTTAAGAATTACACTATGAACCCCTGAACTAAACCACTGTATATAAATCACTCTACACATGTAGATAAAAAAAAGTTTGGATTCTAGGACTTCTTCTGGTTCCTATCTGTGTGACACTTAAATTAAAAATTGGTTTATGAAAAAACCCTTGAGTAGAAGTAGCATGACTCTGTTACAAAATGTAGTGTCTTAGATATATTTCTTGCAAGTTTCGGATTAATAACTAATATTTTTTATTTTCTTTGACTGCTGCAGAAGTTTGTGTTGTCAGTGAATTAGAAGATCTCAGTGCCTCAGTGGATATGCAGGATGTCTATACCAAAATCAAATGTAAAATAGAAAGCTTCAATATTGACCATTACAGAAACAGGTAATTCCTGGGAGTTATTCTGCTTTAATTTCAGGCTGAAAGAAAAAGGCGCATGGGCTTATTAACTTAAATTCACAGTAATTGTTCAGTTTCACTGAAACTATTTTAACCGCTTAAGTAATAAAATTCAGAATTACATTTTCTCAATATTATATCTGATTCCAAAGAAATACACAGAACTATTACAAATCAGGAGAGCGTTATTTCACATTTACTGCTTGTTGGTCCATTGGACAAAAAGCATTGATTTTAACTAACATTTGAATGGGAAATACCTTAAATATTGCTTCATGATGTGTTAGCAAGTGCCATTATTTAACGATTTAACCTTAGATATTAAAAAGTAGTTTCTAAAATAATAGAGCGATTGCTTGTGCTATGGCTTAGCAACACTGTAATGCAGGAAACTAAGGTGATTTTCTGTTTGTGTGACATGGCATAGAGTTATGCAGACACTACCATGTGAAACCGGTAATTAATGTCGACCTGTATATCATCAATATTATGTACATTTTGAGTAGGTAGGGAGGTCTACTGTATGTCTTGCAACTTCAACGAGTCTTGATGGTTGAATAGTTTGCTGCCCCAGTGTGACTGCGTCCATCTTGCACCCAGACGCACGGTTCTGTAGAGACTGTGTGTGCCACCTTCTAGCTCGTATTGGCCATGAACACGCTGGTTTTGACAAAGTAAGAGAGCCTATGTAGTCTTTGTTCACGTCTGGGTTGGTGTTTGCTTTTACAGATCAACAGATTCTGTTATGGGAGACAGAAATTAAGAAAAAATCGAATAGTAGTTGTGTTACTGCCTGACAATTTCAGAACATTTTTTGGCATTGAAAATTACAAACATATTTAGGAGCACAAGTAATTTTGACTTGGGAGCCAAAGACTGCAGGGTCCTATTGAACACTTGATGTTCCCTGTGTAAAATAGAAAGGACATTTAATATCAACTGGTGAAATTAGCAGCATTTCTGAAGCTTTTTTCTGATGAGCTATCTAAAAAAGGAAATTTTGAATTCCCATTCTTTTGCCTAAGTTACAAATGCAGTTATTGTTTGTTCATATTGTAATATTTGATAATCAAAATTTCTACTTTCAACTGTAAGTAGACATAAATCTTTAAAATGCTTTGGGATCCCAGTAACTAGTTTCTCTTAACAAGATTCTTTGTCCACAGATTCCATGAAAACTTGAGAGAAGGTACTTCACTCCCAGTAGCCTAATGCCCCATCAGAAATGTTTTTGGCTTCAGGGTGTTCTTGTTTGCTAAGGTTATATGGAGGCTTTAAAAAAAAAAAAAAAAAAGAAAAAAGTTATTCCATCTAACAAAATTGTTACTGTTCTCATTTATGTTTTGTAATCTCTGGACAGTACCTTTCTCTACCTTTAAATCTCTGTGGACTAAATCCAAAAGCAGAGAATAGATAAGGTGAACATTCTGTCTTCCAGGCCAGGGGGAGACTGGGAGTCAGCACATTTTGAAGGAATATTTCTACAATGCACAGAAAAGCTTTTGGTGAGATTTCTTGAGTAAACTAAGGTGCTTACCTGAATAATGCTTCTTAATCAACTCTTGTCTATGTTAAAAAGAATGATTACAAGAACTGTAGTACAAAGCACATTTTAATACCCAATATTTTTTCTAAATACTACTGTGATTTTGTAACATATATGAGTACAACTTTTCAGTCACGGTTTCTTGGTTCTTGTAATCATCCTCCTTCTCATCCTAATAAAGCTGTCTGCTGAAAATCCAGAGGTAAGTCCTTTTTCTGTATGCAGGACTTCACTACACTTTCATTCTCAGGTGTCTCGACCTCTTGCTGTAGGTTGTCCTTTCACATAAAATTTTAAAATGTTTAGGGTTTGGGGTTTTTTTGTACCAGCATTTTTCTTGATTTGATTGAATTTCAGCTTTTTAGGAAAAGGTATGCCATAGGCTTTATCTTGCAGTTATGTAGAATCATGGAAGTTTAACATAACTTTCTCTTGCTTACAGCAATTCTTTTTTTTTTTCTTTTTGTCTTCCCCTCTTCCATGCCTCGTTCATTACTTCAAGCCTTGGGGAAGATTCTTGGTGTCTGGGGCAATATGGAGGTGTGTTCCTTTCCTGTACTGACAAGCTGAACAGACGTACCTTGTTGGTTCGACCCGTCAGCAAGCAGGACCCAGTTTAACATAACTTTCTCTTGCTTACAGCAATTCTTTTTTTTTTTCTTTTTGTCTTCCCCTCTTCCATGCCTCGTTCATTACTTCAAGCCTTGGGGAAGATTCTTGGTGTCTGGGGCAATATGGAGGTGTGTTCCTTTCCTGTACTGACAAGCTGAACAGACGTACCTTGTTGGTTCGACCCGTCAGCAAGCAGGACCCTTTCAGTTTTTTTTCCCTCTGTAAGAGTCTTTTTAAAAATTTTTACTACAGAACTTCCACTAACAAATCCCAGTTAGAGTTAAAAAAATAATTAATCTCAAATGGCTTTAGTTTCTTGTCATCTAAATTATTTTTTTCTGAATATATTTATTGCTTATATTGATTATATTAGCTGTGTTATTTCCCTGTTATATTTTAGTAATAGTTTTCAGTAATTTTTCAGTAGATACGGTTATGGGGGTTGCTGCTTCACAATAAGTACATACCAGCAGTCCGCTGAAGTCCATGGTATTCATTTATATGAAAAGTGAGCACATGAAGTAAGGTTTGGAGACCAAATATATAAAAGCCGGTTCTGAACACATTTTGTTCATGGAATTCTGACATCTACTTAAGCATATAAGTACTCTGCATTACTGCAATATATCTTTATGAAAGCTTTTTAAATTACTTCTTATAATTATGATGATGCAACAATTAACTATTTAATATTTGAGTCTTTCTTTTGAATGCTTGCAAAATTACTTGCTGATTCAGAATATCTCATGTGAGATATTTAACCCCTTTTTTCCTTGGCTGTTTATCCCTGAAAGACTTTATATGTTATGACATTGGGCTCTTTATCTTCACAAATGTATGGCTGTATAGAATGTTTTTATGTTAGTGTAAGTTCTGTATGGTCTGATTTATTTTCATCATGAATATTGATTGGTAATACTTTATCTTACTCTGTTTCTTTCAGTTCTTTTAAGAGATTGGTTTACTAATTTGTTATAATTCCCTTAATCATAAAGTTTCCAGTTTTTCAGCGTTTAAGCTGTGTATCCTGTTTATTTAAGAAAGAGATGTTCTTCTATTAACAAGGTTTAAATTACATTAAATTGTTCTTAAATTTAAGATGCTGAGAGAAGCAACTGCTTGCAAAATGTAGTTGCTTTCATTTGGGCTCACATGATTAAAGCTAATATTTAAACAGTATCATAGAATTCTATCAAAATGTTTATTTCAATGTTAAATTAATTGTTTTTCCAATTGTTATTTTTACATTTTTCACTCACAAACAGTGAATGCCTGAAAGACTTTCAAAGGTATTAGGAAAACTGTACCTTACATCTTCTGGTAGCTAAACAGAAGATGTTTTCTTATCTTTATCTGGGGAAACCTTTTGTTTTGTTATCTTTATCTGGGGAATGTCCTTCTAAGTGAAGGAATCTACTGCTTCTGAAGTGCAGTGCAGTGTGTCTTTATTTAAATGATATGCTTTAGCACGTGGCACAGCTATTCTCTTTAAATACTCAAAGGCGATAAGGGCAAAACCATCTCAGTTCATGTTTAGGTAACTGTGGGTGATTTATACACCCGTGTTTGGAAGGAATGAAGCTATCTCAGCACCCAAGCATTATTTTATCACCCGTGTTGTTTGCATGTACAAAAGGAACGATGCAAGGGAGTAAGGTCTGCTTTGTCAGATGTCTAAAATGGTGAAATCAAAATATTTAACTGTGAAAAAAATATCAGAAAACGTTTGGTAAATTTAGACTCTTGAATATATGGTATTTTCTTCGGCTGATTGGATTTGAATTTCATACAGCATGATCAGAAAAAATTGTTCAGCAACTCATAGTTTTAGCTGACACAACACAGGGAAGGATGGACACACTGTGACAAACTGTCCATTCGAACAAATGAAGGAAATTTTCTGTACTATTCAGTGACAGCGGAAGGCTGTTAGAAAACATAGAACCCTAAACATCCCAACCGACAGTGAATATGGCAGTTGATGGATGTTACATGTGTACAATTTTGCAGCAGTTTGGTTTGTTGGTTTTCTTTTTCCCTTGAAACAGACAACTGCAAAACTTTTAGATGGCTCGCACCAACAACATGGATTTCTTTCTCTCACGTACACCAAAGCTGTGACAAAAAACGTGCGGCACAAACTGATATCAAGAAACGAACGAAGAACATTCCATAAGCTATCAGAAGGTCACACTGATGGTTCTCCTCACTTTCTTCATGAGATCCTTCTCTCTGCTCAGGCCTTTGATGTGGTCCTCTGTTTTCCTTTGCTTAATGCGATTGCAAGCATCTTTCAAGCCAGGTTGCCAAGGAGTCAAAAGGAGAAAAGAAAATCACCAGGCCAACCTATGAGGACTCATGCTCTAACTTCCCGCAACCTGCCTCTGATTTATATCAACACTGGTGTAATAAGAGTCTTCTTTCCCAAAAATGAGGAAGATCGTCATACTGCAGAAGGTAGAGTATTTTAAGAGATTTTTTGCTGTTTAATATTGGAGTCAAATACTCTAACTTAGTAAAATTGCTAACCATTGCCTTTAGTTTTAAGGGTCAGTTAGAAAGAAATCTAACATTCATGCTGCTTCTCTGCAGATTTACGTAGAAGTTTTTTAGGTATTTATTTCATCTTTGCTTTTCCATTACCTATAGAGTTTGCATTTAAGATATGATTATAAAAAAAACTAGTCAAGAACTGTGGAAAGAGAACCCAGTTCTGCAGTGGTGATTCTTGTGTCGGCTCTCATTACGCTGACATCGGTTCAGTCTTCTGTGGACTCCTGTTCAAGTGATAGAGTCTAAGCAAGCAACCTTAGCTCCTGTGGAAATCAGCACCTTGAAAATCATGCAATGGTGGAGGAAGTAGATATTTTAGTTCACTTTGTCCGAAGTTATTAAGAATGTACATTGTGATTGACGCCCAACAGATGATACAGTTTATCATTTATTTAGTACGTCTTAGTGGAAGCTATTCAGAGTCCTTTATTATGTAGGAGGCTTTCAGGTGTTTACAGCTGTGGATAGCGTAAACTGTTCTTTCAAACAACAGTAAGTAGCCATCTGATCTGTGGATAATACTTCTTTCTGTAAGAAATTCTTTTCCCTTCATACGTAAAATATATTTATATCCCTATTACAGTCTTTATATATAAAAAAGAGAGATGGTGACACTAAAATTACACATTGTAAGAGCTAGTGGGAATGTGATCACTTCCATTACCAACAATTCTTCTAGAGTTTCTAAAAAAAAAAAAAAAAAAAAAAATTTGTTTTACTGCTATTATATGTTCACATAAGTCCTATAGGTATGAGGTTTTTTACCATTATATTACAACAGCACACAATATAGTCCTACGAGTATAGTCTTTAAATTTTTTCTCATAACCTAACTGCCAGAAGTGCAGACAGTGAGAATTTACATAGATAATTTTTTTGCCAGCATCCTTTACAATTACCCAACTGGGAATGCTGAAAACACAGGAAGATAAAATTAGACTGGCTGTGTTGGCAAGAAAGAATTATGATTCTGTTTGGAAGGGAGTTCCAGGGCATGCTGTCAAGGAAATCTTTTTTCCAAAGTATGTTTTTGTAGCTCTGTAGCTGTATACTTCATTAAAAAGGAATTATAAAAAACTTTGTCTTGTTGCTATCCCTTGCTTGAAAAAGCATGCAATGAACAGAATTGCCATGGTTAAGCATGGATGTAGGAAGAAAAACTATGTATGCTTTTAAAGAATAATGCTAAAGATTAGCTTTGCTAAATTAATAAGAAAGCCAGCTAACCTCTTCCACTGGAAAATTCTGAAATATCCTAGAATCACGGAATTGTTTAGGTTGGAAAAGACCTTTAAGGTAATCAAGTCCAACCGTACCATTCTCCATTCACTTCTTCATTCACCCCAGATTTTCCCAAACTCTTGTCTGTTTCTGAATGTGGATAAATTGCTTCTTTCTTCTACTGATGTCTCCAAGAACAATAGAAATCAGAAACAATAATAAGGATTAAGATTTGACCCAGATTACTGGTGTGCTAGGTCAGAAGAGTGTTATATGTTGTGGAGATCTGCTCCCATAAGACCTCATTCATCATTTATTAAGAGAGATTTTTAATCCAATGAGATTTGAGTGTTTCGGGTTGTGATCACTTCAGTAAAAGTAGAAAAACAAGGATCTCAGTTTCTCTTGTAGTTAATCATCTGCTGTTCATACCTTGCACCTAATGATAGCGACCTAAACTATACTTCACACACAAAACACACGTAATTGTGACTTTACATATGGAAATATTGTGTTGTTTATTTGTGCAGTCCAAAACCAAACTTGCACTGTGAACTGTGGTACACAAACACTACAAAATAATCAAAATAATGATTTTTCTCCCAAGGAATTTACATATACACATGGATGAGTATACCCACACAGTTTTATAACATTTTAGTTTTGTGGGTTTTTTGCAGCAGCACCAGATTAACATTTCTTGTTGTAGTAGACTTGAGGGCAGCATCCTATCGTAGGCGATAAGCAATGCTGTTTTCCCTCAGAGTTCTTGTTAATGCCTCAGGTGGCGTTTCAACCTCTGGCTAGCAGCCCTCACTTACTTAGTGATGAAGTAAAGACAACTGAATACATGAAAGCAATATAACAAACAGAAATAAGAAATATTGCATAGCAGAACACTAAATAAAAATTGTAAATTGCAAAATAAATTACAAGAAGGTGGTAAAGACTGGGAATATCCGCATCTGGCTGGTTTGTGGACAATAGGAACTTTTTTTAATATGTACTAGGAGCAAAATATCAGGAATCACTAGAAAGAATATGATAAATTTGTTGATGGTGAAAAAGAAAAGGCAGCATACTGAATAAACGTATGTCCTGCATTTGTAGAAGTGATATATTCTTGTCACATGAGCATGACTCCCTACTTTGAAGTCTGCCATAACATATGGTCTGTAACATCCTCCTTGCTAACTATTGAAGAGTTTCAGATCAGTTAGACCGAGTAACTTGTGCTCGGGGATTTTAGTCTTCTGAGGCTAATTTTTAACACACCTTGGAAGAGCAGGTTTTGGACAGCTGAAGGTGTATCTGGTAAAATGAAAAGTGTGGTGTTCAAATAAAATTAAGACAAGAAGTTTTATTGCTCTTCCTCAGATTATGTATAGAAAAAAATTTATTACAGGATTCAGTTAATAAACAATTACATATTTGTTACACAAGAATACATATGGTTTTATGGAAACTATTCTTGTTAAACATATCTGATTTCCATTCACCATTATGGTTAAAATTCTAAGTTGATAAAATGTTTGCAAAGATTTGGTATGCTTAGACTTTTGTAAGGAGTTCGACATTGCGTCCATTGGTATTCAAATTTAAATACATCCAAGATATCTGTGGAAATGTTAAATGAATTAAAAATGGCTGAGTAGAAGTCTAGAAAAAATAGTCAGCTGGGAATAATAAGTGAAATTGGTACTTAGTAATCTGAAAGTGAATAGAAAACCATTTCTGCTAGCATCAGTGTACGTTGCAAAGAATTTCCTGAGGAAAATAATGTTAAGGACCGTAGGCCATGCATCTGGGTCACTGCTTACCTCACTGCTTGTAGAAAGTATACTGCATCTTCTGAAGTTATGTAATAAGGAAAAAATTATGTAGACTCTATCTTCTGGACTGGAGAGACTATCCTGGGAAATAGTGGCTGAAAACACTTAAGGGTCACAGTAGACTTAGTGAAAAGAAATCAGGGCACTAGCTGTACTTCTGCATATGGCAGATGATGGAATATCATGTCCAATTTTGTTTTCTGTTGTAAAAATGAGAATTGATAAAACTGGAGAAGGTGCTGAAAAGCACCACAAATGTTAATCAAGTGCTGCAGAGGTTACAAGGAAGGATTAAAAGAGCATAATGTGTTTCCCTCAGCAACAAGAAGATTGAGATGGGTGGGTGAAACCAAGGGAGGTTGTGAACAACACTGTTACACTTGGTTCTGAAGTTTTGCCTAGATTATATTTATATTGTGTAGCTCAGTCTTTTTTCCCCTCAAATTTTTAAATACTTGCAGTGACTGTGATTGTTTACTGTAATATCTCCATATTTTCTAAAGCTAATGGAAGAATTCATGGGTTTATGAATGAAGATACGACTTTGTCATCCTAAATCATGACTCGGATTACCACTCATTACAAACCAGCTGAAAATACCAATGCCTGTAATTCTTTCTGATTTAAGATTGACTTAATTCCTTGACTTATAGGAAGCTGTACACAAAAGAACCATGCCCAGCCTTGGAAAAAAAATAAAATCCTAAAATGCTTACATAACAGACACCATGATGAGTAGTCCTGTGTTTATTCTGCTTTGTAAAGTGTCAGAGACAAATTAAAATTCTTAACCTAAGACATGTTTTATTAAGAACTACTTCTCAGAATAAGGCATTTGCCACCTAATTAAGTTGCAATTGCAGTCCAAAGTATAATTAATACGTTCTCTTTCTTACGTGAGTATCAGACCAAAAAGAAAAAATCACCTTAAGAGTACAGCGGCAGGAATCCTAACACTTAGTACCACGCCTTACTTATTTTTTGATCTAAAAGTTGAAAATATCATTCAGGACTTAGTCACAAACAGGATTTTGTTAACTTTTGTACCTTAGTTCTGGCAACCAGACCATCTGTGTATGGTTTTCTCTGCTTTGGGGGACTAAAGGGTTTGGCTTTGCTGTTGCAGTAATGAGGTTCCTGTAAGCCAATCCCTTGTCTTCCGATTGAGTTGTGCATCGGAACTTGTGTTGCCACTCCGACGCATGTTTACTGTGGTATTCCCTGGGATTGTTTCAAAATAGCGTGTTAGAGTTTCTGTGAATTCTGTCATTTCTTACATACGTGTATTGTTAAACAGATACATGTGTATAGCTGCAACGCATGGTGTTGTGTCCACCAAGGCATTAATGGCTCTTTAGAAACCATTTCTTAAACTCTGTTTTTGCGGGTTCTTCCCACACCAAGAACTTCACTCTTCAGTAACGTATTTAAGCTCTGTTCGGCTCCTGTCGTTTTGTTTTCAGAACTCATATACATGAGTGTCTTGCAGGATTTCCTTGGACGTGGGAGCAAGCGTGAGGTCGTTCAGTCCTTGTTCCGTGTTCTTGCTGGTGTTGTAGTGAACCGTGTC